CTTTGTTAAGCACATAGGTTAGGCCCCAGGGCCTCAGCTCCTCTCCAGAAGCCTCAGGTTCTGCATCTGGAACATGACCCTGATATTCTGTGCTCTACTTATGCATGGGTTTGATGCCAGACAGGCCAGGCATGATGGTGTGCACCTGTAGTTCTGGTGACCCAGGAAGCTGAGGCAAGAGGATCACAAGCTTACAGCCAGCCAGGGCAACACAGTGAGACCTGTCTGAAAGAGCTGGACATGGAAGTAAATGCTACTTGGGAGGCTGAGCGGGAGAGTTATAATAATGAGACCTCGTCTAAAAAAAGTTAAAAATTAAAAAAGATCCTGTTACCTAGTGGTTAAGGAGGTCATATAGCATATGGGTGACCACCAGGTCATTGAAATCCTGGCCCTGGTGACTTAAAAACGGAATATGCTGGGCACATATGCATGTGTACCCCAAATCTCGATGGGATGATAAAATGGAGAAGGGCCGCAGCATGACTGTGCCTCACTGAGGGGTGCCCCTCCCTCACCCTCTTTCTCACTGATATGAGCCCTCTGACTTACATACAACAAACAAGCAAAGCTTTATCAGATAAAGGGGAAGGAAGTTAAAGTAAAATAGAACCAATTATAGAACATCTTTAAAAAGCTGATGGGAAATTTAAATTTCTATTCTATAAGCATTGGAGAACATTTTAAACTCCACAAGGAAGAATCTGATACTAGTAAACACAATACTACAGAAATACTAGAAGAAAATAAAAACAACACTAAAAAATGGTGAGAGCCAGCCCTATAGCCTAGTGGTTAAGGGAGCCAGATCCTACATGGCTGAGTGTGGCTTGAGTCCTGGCCCCAGAAGCTTGAGCAACACTCCAGGTATATGTATATGAATGCCCAAAATCCAGACAGGATGGAAAAACAGAGAAGGGATTGTGGTATGGCCATGTCCCGTTGGGAGTGCTTTCTCTCTCTCTCTCTTTCTGGCAAGTATTCACAACTTCTGGAACTAAAAAAAAAAGTTAAGAAAGATAGCAGTGGCAGCCATTACATACTAGGCACTATCCTATGTGCTTTATGAATGTAAGTTCACAGGACCATCACAGCTCAAGGAAGTTTGTAACAGTTATCTCCATCCTTTTCTGACGACCCAGTCACTTGCCCAAAGCAACACAGCTGGTCAGCAATGGAGCTGAGACTCTACTGCTTGGACAGTCCTAAGTCTGAGCTCATTTCCCCACACTATCAGACTTTCAGCTTGGGTGGGGATGAGCTAATAGTAGAAAAAAAATAAGTAGAAAGACATGATTCAAATGGACAAGACATCCTAGGGGCAGCACCAGAGCACTGGGCAATGCAAGTTCATAGTGCCAGGAAACAGACCATGTGAAGGCAAAACAACAGCGGAGGCCCACTGCTGAGACTCGTGTGGCCTGTGAGCTGGACGAGGTGGCTGCCTGTGACAGACAGCCTCTGCTCCCTGATTTCCATCTAGGCGTCTTCTGCTTCCTCTGCAGCCCATGAGCTCAAGGGCAAGTTGCCTCTTGGCTGAGCCAGCAGCTCAGGCCAGGGCTACTCGGCTTTGTTCCATCTTTTGGCCTTGCACTGGCTCAGGGACGGGTGTGTCACTCAATTAGGGCTCGTGAAACCTGACAGAGGCTTGCTAGGGGCTGTTAGAAAATTGCTCTTCTGAAGGCTTCTGAAATGAATCTTTCTGTCTCCCAAAAGGATGGGGAAATGTGGAACCCTTGAAGTGTTGCCAGCGGTCTCGAAATTGCAGGGAGCCAGACACAGCAGACACCACCACCACAAAGGACAGAGAGCTGTGAAGAAAGTGGGGGCGAGCGTGCCTGCC